AGAGAGAAACATCAATGATGAGAGTCATTGATCAGCTGCCTCCTGCGCGCCCCCTGCTGGGGATCGAGGAGCTCGCAACCCGGGCCTGTGCCCTGACCGGGAATCAAACCTCGACCTCCTGGATCCTAGGTCGATGCCCAACCACTGAGCCATGCTGGCCGGGCAAGAATATCAAGGACTTAATTCTGCACTGTGTGTGTTTGTCTTACACAGCATTTTTTTTTAATGTAGTCAAAAGTCATAGTTTTGTTACTCAGCATCCTAAAAATGTTTGTCTGCCAACCACGATAAACAGGTGGGACATTAGCAGTAAACAGAAACACTACTTAAAATATTTTAAACACTTCGCAGAAAGCAGAAGCCTCATCTCCAGTCCCTTACCTTTCGCCTGAAACAAACCCAGCACCATCAACCTCTGCCGTTAATCACAGTGTAAAGTTCACTCATGTCAGACTGGAGGAGCCCGCCCCAGCCCCTCCCGCCTCTCACGCACCACAAGCTGACCCTTTACGAGCACCAAGTGCCGAGGCAGCTCACACGCTGCTAAGGGACCAAGGAGCCTCACTGCCGCCGCATGTAGACCCACCACAGGTACCTGCGCTGCAGCGTCCGTGCCCTGCTCTCTGCCCCGCTGCACACAGCAGCCCGGCTTCCCTGCCGGGTTCCTTGCTTTGTCACTGGGCACACACCAGAGCGCTACCCGTTAGCACCAGTCATTTCCCTTCTGCAGTTTGCATGGCTTCCGGTGTATACGGATCATTGGGAAACAGGCCTTCGCGTTGGGATTTTTGCTTAATATTTTTATTATTATTTGGGGGTTTTCCATATTCTCCAGAATTTCTTACTGCATAGTAGACATTTTTATGTTTTATAAATTGTGGTGTCTGTGAATTTTCTTCATGATTTTTATTTTCAGTGTCCAAATCAAGGGGAATCAGCATTTCGGTGCATTAATTTTTTACTAAATTGAATAATTCTCTTTAACGCACTTTTCATTTAGCACATGCTAAAATAAAATGTAAAAGCCCCTGCATTGTAAATTTTGCGCTTTCACTCAGACTGGCTTTCTCCATTAATCTCTCTCTGCTCTGGTCATGAATGGTGGAACACACCATTTTCACACATTAAATCGAGTTTTGTCTGTTAAATAGCCTAGCCTTAGAGGCAAGCCTGTGTGCTTACTTACCCGTGCCTTTGTTGTGCAGGTGTATAGAAAGGACCCCTATCCCGAGGACACAAGGCAGAACCACGTTCTGAAGCAGCCGGCTGTGGGTCACCCAGGCCAGAGGCCAGACAGGGAGCCTAATCTGAGCTTCGAGCACCACCCCCAGTATGCAGAGAAACAGGCCAGCAGAGACCTGGAGCAGCCCGCGTACAGATACGACTCCTCGGGCTACGCAGACCAGTTCTCTCGGAACTTTGACCACCGCGTGCGCTACGAGGAGCGCGTCCCTGCCTACGAGGAGCACTGGTCCTACTACGAAGACAAGCAGCCCTACCAGCCTCGGCCTCCTTTTGAGAATCAGCACTCTCGAGACCTGGACTCCAGGCAGCATCCTGAAGAGTCCTCAGAACGAGGGTACTTCCCACGGTTCGAGGAGCCAGCCCCTCTGTCCTATGACAGCAGAGCCCGCTATGACCAGCCACCCAGGCCCTCCACGCTGCGACATGAAGAGCCGCCGGCTCCTGGATATGACGTGCATGGTAGATACAGGCCCGAGGCACAGCCCTACTCCTCAGGCCCGAAGGCAGCTGAGCCCAAGCAGTATTACGACCAGTACCCACGAGGTTATGAGCAAGTCCCATCGCAGGGCTTCCCCTCGAAAGCAGGCCCTTACGAGCCTCTGCACGGTGCTGCGGCGGCCCCCCTGCAGGTGCCTGCGGCTCAGCACAAGCCGGAACCCCCTCCCGCCAGCACCAAGCCGCTGCCCCCGCCCCCAGCTCCAGCTGAGGAAGAGGAGGACCCTGCCATGAAGCCGCAGTCCGTGCTCACGAGGGTGAAGATGTTTGAGAACAAAAGGTCTGCGTCCTTGGAGAGCAAAAAAGAGGAAAACCACACCACTGGCTTCAAGGTAAAGCCCTAACCGTGTCTGCCCTGCCCTGGACACAGGCACGTCCTGACTGCCGCACAGCCCCCCCACCCGCGCAGCCTGCTTGGTAATGCTCTGTTCCTGGGGCGGGTTTGTTTTATGTTTGCAGCCCCCGGAGGTAGCAGCTAAACCTTCAGGCGCTCCCATCGTCGGTCCCAAAGCTCCTCCTCAGAGTCAATTCAGTGACCACGACAAGACACTGTACAGGTGGGTGCACGTGCTGGGGTTCGTGGGAGCTGGCCGGGCACTGGCCCCGTAGTGAGCGAGCCTGCAGCGGGTGAGGGGGAGAAGGGAAGGGGAGGGTCTGTTGGTCCTCGGATGAAAATGCCAGCGTTTCTAAGTAAAACGCTGGCCCTGGAAAGGAAAGGTGTTGATTATGTCTTTATAGCAGGTCTTTGTTACAGCTTTAGGAAACCAGTGTCTTGGAAATACGTGTTTCTAGTAAATGATTAAGAATTTTAAAGTCCTACCCCTTGTAGTACGTGTTTTAGTTTCAGAGTCCTTTCAGACGTGCAGACTCCCAGTTCTGAGGGTAGGGAACAGGCGCGGAGTGGCTGACGTGACTGAGCTGTTCGACGAGCACGTGCCGCCTGCTGGCCGCGCTGAGCAGCTCGGCGCAGTGAGGGCCGAGGCTGGCGGGTGGCATTTGCAGGACTGGCGGAGCCGGGAGGGACGCCCGGCCAGCTGGGCGCGCAGCCGCGGCCTCAGTGCTGCTCCTCGGGGACGGGCTGGACGTGAACACAGCCTTCCTGGTGGCTGATGTGTTTACTTGCTCACGTTCGCACTTGTGCTGAAGAGGAGCTAACGTACCCATTTCCTGTAATGACATGTAGTGCTTTTTGTGAAGATGTAAACTGCGGTGTCTCCTTAGCCAGTGTCACTGGCAGATGAGCTGTTACGTGCAGTAAACTCATAAGAAGTGAAGCTTCTCCGTCATGTTGCTGTAAAACCTAGTGAAGCTGGTTGGTTTTGATGCAAACTTTCTAAAGTGTGCGTAGCAGAGCGTAAACCACAATGTGTGAATTTGCTTAATAACATACACTCTCCCCTCTGCTTCCTGTGCCCTCTGGAACTTCAGGCTTGACCGAGCTATTTCCTTGTATGAGGGTCATTTCTGGACCCTGGATTAAAGTCCTTAAAAGTCCTTTAGAGCTCTTGTATTAAGTCAGGTCTTCTCGGTTACTACTCGTCGCTGGCATTAGTGTATATACTTTGAGTAGTTTCCACTACATTGGCTCCATTTCCTTTCCTCTTTCCAATTAACTGCTTTTAACCTGCTCTGAGGCCTCCAACCAAATACCTGTCAAGCTTAAAAGGTCGTATTCAAGAGCTCTCGGGCCGGAAGGGGGCTGCCTTTTGAGCCTGGCGTGTGAAGACGTGGGGGTTAAAATGTCCATCTTGACTGCGGGCTGCTCAGCTAGGTCCTGAGTGACCGCAGCCAGCGAGGGGTCCAGCTCAGCGATGCGTGTGCCCCACTCTCCGTGTGCAACCCACTCCTACAAAGCTGTCCCGTTTGCTGTTTGTTGTCAGGATCCCAGAACCTCAGAAACCTCAGCCGAAGCCCCCTGAAGATATCGTCCGGTCAAATCATTATGACCCTGAGGAAGATGAAGAATATTACCGGAAACAGCTCTCCTACTTCGACCGAAGGAGTTTTGAGAACAAGCCTCCTGCCCACATCCCTGCCGGCCACCTCCCGGAGCCGGCCAAGCCCGTTCACTCCCAGCATCAGCCGAGCCTGTCTAGTTACGCTTCGAAGTAAGTCATTTCACCTAAGGCTTCTTTGAGGATAAGGTGACGCGTAGAGGCCCGATTGCCTAAAGCGGAGTCATCTGAAGCTCAGCCTGTCTTGAAGGAGGTAGCTGAGTGTGTGAGATGCTTTCTGTGGGCTCCAGCGGGTCAGCACGTCGTACTTTCTCGCACTAGGAGGTGTTTCCTTTTCTTAAACTGATAGCAGGTATGGAGAGTTTTTGCATTAGGAGCAGATGTTAAAATCAAAGGTGAGAATAAACTGGGTCAGAAGAGTTTCTAAATCCTTCTGTGCAGCACAGTTGCTGCTGGTTCTTTCCCCCCTCTTTGGTTTTGTTTTAAGTATAAAAACAGGGATGTGTTGGGCAACATTGTCGGGGGAAGGTCATAGAGAGAAGTTTTTAGGGTGAGAAAGAGCTTGTCTTTTTTCATGATTGGAGGTGGGGGTACTTTAGAGATTCCTGGTCCCATTGTACCTGAGGAACCCACGCTCAGTGGGTGGCGTGACAGGCGGAGCTGGCACTGACCCCCGAGTCACTTGGCTCCCAGTCGTCTTGTCCCTGTTCTGTGCTGCTCCCTTCTGTTTACTCGTCTCTTGGGGATTTTGTTGGGGTACAGACGCACATGTGCCTGTGTGGGTTCCTGTCTCCTGCTGGTTCTGTCTCTGGTCAGACCCTGAGGGACAGAGAACTTGGTGGGGAGAGTGGGAGGTAAACCCACACAGGCGCACGTGGGTTTTTGCTTCAGCAACACAAGCCCACGGAGTGAAGAGCAGATGGAGTTTATTATAACGAATCTGCTTCCACTCGTGGGACCTGGCTGAGCACGTCCTAAGTCCCTGGGGCCGGAAGATGAAATCAGAGCTGCATGGAAGTCTGAGCTCAGGAAGCCCACGTTCCCCTTCAAAGAGCCCATCCAGATAATTCCCTTTAATCAACATGAAACTCAACTGATTCAGAGGCGTTACGTCTGAAAATTCCCTCATAGCGGTCCCTGCATTAGTGTTTGACTGAACTGTGACTGCTTCAGCCGAGCCAAGTGGACACATGAAAGAGCCATCACGAGCCACTTGTTTTCTAAGACATCATTCAAAGTCGAGATTTAAAACCTTTTCCCGCTGCCATCCATTTAAATCTTCATCCACTGAGAAAGCAGTTGCTAAGAAATGCAGGCGTGGGGCACTGGGGCTCTGCATGCCGACGGCCTGCTGCTGGTGTCTCGTGCTCCACAGCCCGGCGTAGGGCGGCGCCCGGTGCCCCGGGTGCGGGAGGAGGCGCTCAGCGCCGGGCCTCAGCGGCCCCACTCAGGCAGGAGAGCAGGCCCTTCGTGGTCATTTCGACTTAAGTTGTTAAACATTAGTTCCTGTCAGGAGGGTCCAGTGGGTGTAGTTCACAGAGAGAGATTCTCTTTACCCTCTTACTAAGACATTTGGGTCTAAGAAGTTTCGCCAGGGAATAAATTAGAAATGGTGGGTGCGTGTCTTTTGGTTGATGTTTTAAATGACATTTGAGTTTCATTTGCTGCAAATTGCTTAGTTAGATTGACCGTTTTCTTTCATTTTTCTATTGCGCTTGCTTGGCCACCACCTAGATTTCTTGGCTCTTACACTAGCTATGACTGCTTGAAAAGGAGCGTCAAGTGGTAAGACTGGCGTCGACATGAGGCTGTTGCACAGGTGTCCCGCGCGTGTCCTTGGCATTATGTGCACTTGCAGATTTGAATGCCATCTTCAAGTGCTCGGTCTAAATGCGGAAGCTCGCTGACGGCACAGCCTTCAGTCTCGTGATAAAACGAGTCTTCTGTGCAAGTCCCCTCGACCTGTCTGGTGTTTGTGCACATAAAGCTGGTGTGCTTGGTACTGCGCAGGTTTAGATGGCAGCGTGGCAATTATGGGTCTATTTCAGAGGTTTCTTTTTGTGTGCATTTGTGTCCTGTAATAATTGGCAATCTGAGAAAGTAAGCATGCACGGCACAATTTGACTTGAATGGGCCTCGTAAAACTAAGCAGTATCTGCTACTCTGGCTGTTAACAAAAATGGGTCTGGTAAATCAAGGACACTTTTTAAAGTAAAAGATGTCAGTTCCTTGTGTTACTGGAACACGGCTACACACGTTCATTTACTTACTGTCTCTGGCTGCTTTTGGGCAGAGTTTGAATAGTGTGTTTGAGACCTTATGGCCCAAAAAGCCGAAGAACATTTACTGCCCAGCTCTTCACGAGAAAACTCGGCTGACCCCTGTTGGTGACGACACCCTGTGTGGCGCTCTGGGCGTGCCAGGAGCAGCCATTGCACCTTAGAGACGAAATTAGACGTGAATCTAAGGAAGACTGGGGCCAGTGAATATTTTTGAAAATATTTGCAAGACCTCCCTCGATTGTAAACAACACAGTGAAATATTACAAATATACCCAGAATGTCATCTGCCTTCTGGTTGCCACCTCCTGGGTGTTCCTGAAAGTCTTCAGGCACCTGGGCTGTCTCTGCATTTCTCGTGCTGGTGGATGGCTGGGTTTGTTTGCCTATTTTGGTAGAGTAGCTGTCCGCACTCATAAGAATAAAGTGTGAAGTTTCTAGTTTGTTTTTTTAAACTTGGAGCTACTTCGAGAGCGAGAGCTTGTTTGTCCGGGCGAGTCCATTTCAGGTGGTGGCGCTGTCTGCGTTTCTTCACAGGGGCAAGTCTGCGGACACTGACGCTGTGGAGAGAGCGTTCGAGAAGCGCTACGACCCGGGGCAGCCCACGC